CCCCTGGCTCCCCTGCTCCTGCCTGCAGCAGGGCTGGAGCCAGAGAGACCTCAGTTATTCACAGTGCTCACAGTGACCCCTGCATGGACTGGAGTTTGAGTGGGTTATCAGAGCACAGCTCTGCCTGTGCTCTCCAATTTCCATTCATTTCTGCTGCACAGTGTCTTAAATGAGAGGTCATTTTGCCAGATGTGGCAGGAAGGATGCAGAAACACATGGCCACGCTTCCTGCACCAAGTCTATCACTCCCAAGCAGGAAAGACACATCTGAGGGGGGACAGAGACATCTGCTGAGCAGCTGGGGGTTGGACAGGGACCAGCACATCTGTCCCCAGCGTGTCCTGCGTGCGTGTCACCACGGGGCCCTGGCCCTGCACGTGGCCAGCAGCAGGAGGGGCTGGCCAGAGCCCCAGCACAGAGCTGAGATCCCACCCTGGCTGCTGGCTGGTGCCTGTCCCCTCCTGTCCTGTCCCCTGTCCCATCCTGTCCTGTCCCCTCCTGTCCCTCACCTTGCAGGCGGTGTCACAGGCAGCCATGTCTGTGTCCCCTCCAGCCCCCCTGCCTGTCCCCTCCTGTCCCCTCCTGTCCCTCACCTTGCAGGTGGTGTCACAAGCAGCCACATCCGTGTCCCCTCCTGTCCCAACCTGTCCCCTCCCCTCCTGTCCCCTCCTGTCCCTCACCTTGCAGGCAGTGTCACAGGCGGCCACATCCATGTCCCCTCCTGTCCTGTCCCCTCCTGCCCCCCCTGTCCTGTCCCCTCCTGTCCCTCACCTTGCAGGCAGTGTCACAGGCAGCCACGTCCGTGTCCCCTCCTGTCCTGTCCCAACCTGTCCCTCACCTTGCAGGCGGTGTCACAGGCGGCCACGTCCATGTCCCCTCCTGTCCTGTCCCAACCTGTCCCCTCCTGTCCCTCACCTTGCAGGCGGTGTCACAGGCAGCCACATCCGTGTTCCCTCCTGTCCTGTCCCCTCCTGTCCCAACCTGTCCCCTCCTGTCCCTCACCTTGCAGGCGGTGTCACAGGCGGCCACGTCCGTGTCCCCTCCGGCCCCCCTGGCTGCCAGCTCCTCGTTTGTCACCTTGAAGGAGCGAACCGTTTCCTGCAGGGACTGCTGCACCTTGGGGACAGCAGGGGCTGTGTCAGGACCCCCCGGTCCTCACAGTGCCCCCCGGGCTGCCATGGCATCAGGAGGGCAAGGGCAGGTCCCATGGGGACATTGCCAGCTCAGGGAGCTCCCCCAGCAGCACGGGGACACTGTCCCAGCCCACAGCTGCCCCAATGACACTGCCAGCTCACAGAGCTCTCCCAGCTGCCATGGGGACACTGCCAGCTCAGGGAGCTCCCCTAGCAGCACGGGGACACTCTCACAGCAGCACGGGGACACTGTCCCAGCTGCCATGGGGACACTGTCCCAGCTGCCATGGGGACACTGCCAGCACAGGGACACTCTCCCAGCTGCCATGGGGACACTGCCAGCCAGGGACACTCTCCCAGCAGCACGGGGACACTGTCCCAGCCCACAGCTGCCCCGTCCCCCTGCCCAGCCCTACCTTCTTGCTGCTGCTCTCCCAGGACTGCAGCAGGTGGTTCAGCAGCAAGCTGTGGGTGAGGAGAACACAGGGCTGGCTCAGGAGCTCCCAGAGGAACTCAGGTGTGCCGGAGGCTCTGCAGGTGAGCGCCCACAGCGTGCACTGACCTGGACTGGGCGAGGTGCTTGGTGTAGAGCTGCCTCCAGACGCTGAAGCTCAGCGGGTCCAGGCTCAGGCACTGGCTCAGGGAGGTCAGGAGCTGGGGAGGGGGCACAGCAGCTCCTCAGGTGGGACCCTCACCCCACAGGTGCCACAGAGGCACCAGACAGAGCTGCAGCGCCCCTGCCCACAGAGGGGTGGAGCTGGATGGGCTCCAAGGGCTCTGCCACCCAAACCATTCCAGGATTTGCTGATTCCTATCCTCCCCTGGGAGCAGACCCCTGCCTACAGGAATGTGTCCCTGCTGACAGGGTGACAAACCTCTCCTTTGAACCCTTAAAATGGAAACAAGCCCAGAAGTTTCTCTTCTCAATTGGGGGAAAAGACACCTCATAGGACCTGGGGGAATTCACCACAAACTTAAGGACAGCCAATTGGACAGAAGGCAAAAAGTCCTGCCTGAGCAATTTACTAGAAAAGGAAAAGAACAAACAATTTGCCTTTGTGAGGTGTTTTACCAAGAGCAAAACCCTCTACACCTCAGTTTTTTACTCAGTTTTTCTCTGTAAAGAGTTTTGTTATTTTGCCTTTTATTAAAACCTTTTTATTTCCAACACTACCACAGAAGCCATCCTGCTGCTCTTCTGCCTTCTAAGGTAGCTGAGTGTGAAAAATGCCTATTTTATGGTTGGCTTTTTGCAAACTTTAAAGTGAATATTATATGGGTTATGCTAGAAAGTTTTGATGTATTAATTTTCTTAAGTAGTGTGTTAAATATAGTTTTAGTTTATAACATAATGTTAAAATAGAAATTATGCTATGTAAGATGCTTTTTTAAAGAGAGAACTAGAGGCCACAGGACACCTGAATCTTTCAGAGAGAAAGAATTTATTGCTCCCTTATCAGAAGAAGCAAATTTCTTCCTGCCTCAATCAGCTCTGAGGATGCTGTCAGGATTAAGAGGATGAAGTTGACACTGCCCAGACAGAATCCTGTGTTTGAATGAAATTTATGCATCATGGATGAGGTGTATGAATATGCAACAGGTTATTGTTTTTAAGGGTTAATCCTCTGTTAATGTGGGTCCTTTTTCGGGTTTATTTTGCCCAGAAAGAGGTACCTGGACATNCAGCTCCAGTGTGAGCTGGGATGGCTCAGGAAGGGATGGGAACAGCTCCAGCTCCAGTGTGAGCTGGAATGGCTCAGGCAGGGATGGGAACAGTCCCAGCTCCAGTGTGAGCTGGAATGGCTCAGGCAGGGATGGGAACAGTTCCAGCTCCAGTGTGAGCTGGAATAGCTCAGGCAGGGATGGGAACAGTCCCAGCTCCAGTGTGAGCTGGGATGGCTCAGGCAGGGATGGGAACAGCTCCAGTGTGAGCTGGAATGGCTCAGGCAGGGATGGGAACAGCCCCAGCTCCAGTGTGAGCTGGAATGGCGCAGGCAGGGATGGGAACAGTCCCAGCTCCCTGCCCAGCCCTCGTGGGCTGCCCAAGAGCCCCACCCCAGCCCCAGGAGGCACCCAGGGGTGTCACACACCTGTAGCCCTGCAGGCTGGCACGGGACACCTTCTGCCAGGCCAGCTGGGAGGCGGGCAGCACGCCGGAGGAGCGCAGCAGCCGGGCACAGGACGAGGCTGCAAGAGACAGGGGTGCTCCTGAGTGGCCTTGGTGTCTGTCTGTCGGTCCCCTGACACGTGTCTGTCTGTCCCCATGGGCTCTGGGGGGGCACACAGCTCTAGCTGTGCTGTGGAACCCCTCAGGAGATGCTCCAGGAGGGGACAGACAGACAGAATCCCCTGAGCAGACCCTCCCAAAGGGGAACAGGCATTGCTGCAGCACCTCCATCCCCCAGCTGGACAGATGGACAGGCCCCAGTGCTCACAGCAGCCACAGGACACAGGCAGGGACACGGAGGGGAACAGCCACAGGAGGGGTCCCAGGGAGCAGGATCACACCTGGGCAAGGGGAAAAAGCCTCAAGTTTGTGACAGGGAAGGTTTAGGTAGCAAACAAAACCCAGTTCCTTCCCAGCAAGGGCTGTGCAGGCTACCCAGGGCCATGGTGGAGCTCCCATCCCATGGGGGGTTTAAAGGCCACATGGATGTGGCACTTTGGGGACGGGGACAGGGGTGGCCTGGCAGTGCTGGGGGCTGCCTGGTGCCCCCCGAGCATTTCTGACCCTGGATTACCCCTGAGTGCCCGGCATACCCTGGAAGGAGCCGTGTGTGTGCACGTCGTGCAGCAGGAACCCAGCAGCCAGCAGCAGCAGCACGAGCAGCAGCCGGGCCCAGGG